CCTATCTCCTTGCCTTCAGACTATGACAAATGCCTCTTCTCTTTACTATCACAGCACAGTACAGTTTGTGTACTGTGAACCAATTCATCATGTAAATGGAAAATAAATTTAATATTACTTTCCTCCCTTTCCTGCCGGCTGTCTCTCACCAGCAGCTCATCTCGTTCTACTCTCCTCCTCGCTCACCTGGATCCATTTGCACCAGCCTCATTGCTTTTTCAGAAGCACACAGACAATACCAATTTAGGGCTTTTGTCCTGGCTGTTTCTTCTGCCTAGAATTTATTCCCAAGATACCAGCAAAGTCATTCCCTCACTTTTTAAAGTCTTTGCTTAAATGCCCTAGATTAATAAGTCCTTCCCTTACTGCCCTCTGGGCGGGGGTGGAATTCCCCATTTCTCATCACCCGTAACTTTCTCTGTATGTGGTATTGAACTATTTGGTTGTTTCTGTTTCCTTTCTATCTTCCTTGACTAGAGGATAAGCCCCGTGAGGATAGGGGTCTATGTCTTTTGGTTTCGGATGTGTCCCTTGCACCCACAACTGTGCCTGAAACACAATAGGGGTTTAATTAATATCTGTTAAATAGGAATAAACATTAAACAGCAGAATTTCTGTTCATTTTTACCGTCAAGTAAAAACATCTAGATTTATGTTAGAAGGAGCTTTATTCGAAAAGACCACAGCAATAGGGAGAATGCTCGGCCACAAGTTCTGCAAGTGTCTCAAAATTGAACAGAGAAAGGTGTTTTTTTTACTTTGAATACAAAGTTGTTCTTGTATGCTATTATAGCTACCAGTAGAAATTCACTCACATATATTGATTACAACATTCATCCACAGTAACTTTTATTTTAGAGAAAACTGGGAGGTGGATAATTGTGAACTTTCTGTCATACACCAGTATTTTGTAGCAGATCACCAGAGCTTATGAATATACATCTTACAATTTTTATAGCCGTAACTATCTCTTATAGTACAACTTTTCAGTGAGGCAAAAATGAACACATTCATTAATAGGCCCAAATACATATAGCTTTAAAAGTATGCTTAGTAATTAACATTTCAATATTTATCTTATTTAAAAATGATCTAATTATTTAATAAATATTCATTAATTAATTTAGCATAACTCTGAGATTTTAATTTACCAGAAGATTTTGAAAACTGTTTTCAAGTTGACATATTACAAAACATAATTAGTGTTAAAATAAAGTTTGTCAGGATAATGATTTAATTTGGTTAAATACACATTTCCATTTTTTATAATCTTAAATATTTAATAGATGTAGTGTTAGTTTATTCAATCAGTAAACCTGTATAAGTTTAGGAAGAATATTACAAATAGAATAAAAAAGTCTGCTTATATTTTATCTAAACTTGATAACTCAGAAGACATACCTGATTTTATTAAACTAATAATATTAAATTAGTCTTGTTTGTCAAGATTTATTTGTGTGAACTTGAGTTTTAAAAATATTTGGGTTGGGGCGCCTGGATGGCTCAGTTGGTTGGGCAACTGCCTTCAGCTCAGGTCATGATCCCGGAGTCCCGGGATCGAGTCCCGCATCGGGCTCCCTGCTCGGCAGGGAGTCTGCTTCTCCCTCTGACCCTCCCCCCTCTCGTGTGCTCTCTCTCTCTCTCTCTCTCTCTCACTCTCTCAAATAAATGAATAAATAAAATCTTTAAAAAAAAATATTTGGGTGGAAGCCACCTGGCTGGCTCAGTCAGTTAAGCTTCTGACTCTTGATTTCGGCTCAGGTCATGATCTCAGGGTGGTGAGATTGAGACCTGCGGAGGGCTCCAGAGTGGCTGTGGAGCCTGCTTAGGATTCTCTCTCTCTCTCTCTCTCTGCCTCTCCCTCACCCCCCACCCCACGCATGTGCATGTGTGTTTTCTCTCTCTCTCTTAAACAAACAAATAATAATAAAAATATTTGGGTTAGCACCTAGTATTGTATGGAAGTGTTGAATCACTATCTTGTACAGCTGAAACTAATATTACTATATGTTAACTGGAATTTAAATAAAAACTTTAAAAAATATTTGGGTTAGTTTCCATAAGAATATTTTTAAAAATCCTAGATGTTAAATTTCTTTAATTTTTGTGAATTTTGGGAATATTTAATTTAGAGAAGTGCTTATTTATCTTTAAGCCAATTAAAATAGAGTTAAGACATTTTATAATCTAATATGTTAATACTATCTGGGGGTAGGAAAAGAACATACATAAATACATATACAGCCAGACACAAATAGAGAACTAACAGCTTTAATTTAAAATGTTTAACTCATTGGTTAAAAAGAGTTGGCTCTTGCTCTTGGACACCTTTACATTTTTATAAAAATCAGGACTGCATTTCTGGTTAGATGGGGCAAGTGGAAGTTATCTACTCATAATGAGAGCTGAAGCATCCCCAACAATATTAGTGGAGGAGACCCTTAAAATTTTCTTTGCCCTGATATGTAATCTTATGGAGGCTGTGGATTAAATCTTCGGCAGGGACTGAGGAGATACCAAGTGACCATCTGGGGGTCTAAAGCTCATCTGAGTTGATAAAACATCCAGCCTGTTTCCAGTTAGCTTTTTCAGCATTAGGTATTTGCTCTTGGGGTCCCTGAGCCCCTCAAGAACTCCTAAAAGGGAGAGGGGGGCCTAGAGCTTAAGTGACTATAAGATGTTGAAGGGCGCAAGGGGGATGGAAAAAGTTCGGCAGAAGTGGATAGAGGGATAGAGGGATAGAGGAGGTAGGAGTGTTAATGGGGGACAGACAGATCAAAGGATTTAAGGGAGCTGAAGGGAAGTTTGAAGGTCATGAAAAGGAGGAAGGAGGATGGGGGGGCAGGTGATAGGAAGGGATAGGTAATTGGTGATCCAGTATGGGGAGATCCCATGTTTCCCAGAGAGGCCACTGAAATTCTAAATTGTCTGTAGTAAAATTTTGCCATTTTTGAAGATGAACTGAATTAATGCCATAATGGTGGGGCAGATAGTCAGCAGGGAATGTAGAGTGAGAGTTACCCATGGCATTAGTCAATGAAATCAGAGATAAGACCTTAAAGAAGCCAGGAAATAGTCCTGCTTGATTATTCACCTGGTACAGTTCTTGTCTGAAGGGCCAAGGAAATTGGGAACCCCCAGTTCCCAAAGGAAAAGGAAGGAGTCCTCACACAGAAGAGTAGGGAAGGTTTCTTCTCATGAGTTAGGGAATGAGACCTCAAAATGCCAAAGAAAAAATTCTTTACCCAAACAAAGTAATTCCTTACTGTGCATAGACATGATGCCCAGAGCGCACTGGTTTGAGAATTGAATTTACCAAAGGATTCCCAAATTCATGAACAAGAGAGGAGTTCAAAGAATTTGCAAGGTGCCAATTAGATATTGGGCAGGTATGACAGGGTTCTGTAAGTGAGGTCCAGTCTTGTGTTGAGTCATAGCTCTATAAAGCTGTCAAATAATAAAACAAATCCAGAGTTAGGTAAAGAAAGAATTTATTTGAAAAGACTGTTGTAATAGGGAGAATGCTCTGACCACAAGATCCACCGGCACCTCAAAATTGAGCAGAAAAAGGCTTTTTTTTTTTTTTTTTTAAATAGGGAAGGGTAAGCAGGGCTAGCAGGAACTTTGCCAGGGATGGGAAGCTGTGGGGGTGAGTGGCCTGCATGATTTGGTGGGGATGGGAGTGCAGGGTTAACAGGAAATGTGTCTCTTGAGGACAGCCAGGAATGCGCTGCATCACAGTGCCTGCTTAAGCTTGAGAGTGAGACAAAATTTAGGGATCTGTGGAGAGAAGGTAAGTTATCAAACCAATGGGTTACTTACGAGTAATTGTGTGAGTACTTGGTTATTACCATTCTGAAAACTCCCTGAATTCCCACTTCGCCTCTCTTCAAGTTGGTATTGCTCAGTATTCTCAAGAATGATTTAAAATATCACACATTAGGGATGCCTGTGTGACCCATTTGGTTAAGCGACCCGCTCTTGGGTTAGGCTCAGGTAGTGATCTCAAGGGTGGTGAGATGGAGTCCCGCCTTGGGCTCTGTAATCAGAGCAGAGTCTGGTTGAGTTTCTCTCTCTCTCTCCTTCTGCCCCTTCCTGCCCCCCCCCCCCCGCTCTCTCTCTCTCTCTCAAGTAAATAAATAAAATCTTAAAAATATATATATCATACTTCAGAAAGTCAAAGCCTCAGAGTAGCCAGGTTTCCAGTGTAACCATGTCCTCAGCTTCTCAGACTTCTGTGTTCCCTGGTCAAACTAAATGAGATCCTAGCCTTTTCATATGTCACAGATACGTTTATCCAGAGCTATTTCTGCCACTCTCATAGCATAATCATTATTAGTAGCTTTAATTAAGTAGATATTTCACAACTGTTTTTCTGGGATAGTTTCAACTCCCTTGCAGACCCTGTCACTGAGATTTCAGGTGAAATTATAACCACTTCCCAGCAAGACGATGAAATCATGTTGTCCCAAACTTTTACTCAGGGTTCAGATGGCCCCTTTTCCACAGACGCTGACTGTGACCATGGCAGCCACTATCCCCCCAGAAAATGGCTCTTGGTGAATCATTTTTTTTCCCCAGGTAGATCTCCTATGTGTCAAATGAATTGGATATAGAGTAAGACATATCTGGATAAAACGGTGTTGCTAGCTACTTTGGAACACAATTTCTAACTATACAGGCAGGGGAGATTTGTTTCCCTGAGGGAACCAGAGGCAGGACACACCCTTGCCTATCGGCTTCAGGAACCCTTTGCATGCCTCCTCCGTCTTCGCAACCAGGGTCCTGTCTGAGACTACTGTATTGAACGAGTTCATGTTTATTAGCTCCCAGACCCTTGGCCTTTGCCTGGCGCTGGGGAACTACAACACCCAGAAGGCTGTCCTCCATGAGCAGCGTTGTTGCTGGCCAATGAAGAGGCTGGAGAGGGACGTGCCGGTGCACTACGCGCCACGTCGGGGCGGGACTTCTGGCACTGTCCTCGCGGCGGTTATTTTATCTGTTCCAGGCGCCGGAGCACTGTGTCACACCCGAGGTGACGGAAGGGAAAGTGTTGTCCTCACTGCACAGAGCCGAGTTTGAGGCTCGGCAGTGTCGCTGCCCGGTGTCACCCGCCGCGGGGGCCGGGCTGGGGACCACGGAGTTCGGGTCCACCCCCCCACCCCACCCCCGTGTCTCCCGGCCTAACTCCGCCAGCAGGCTCTGATGGCGGCGGCTGCGCTGTTGGACCCGGCGCAGGTGGGTGCTGCCATTCCCGGGTGGTCACCCGCCCGACGCCACCTCCCGATCCTAAAGCTCCCAATGAGGGCGCCGGCTGAGGTCCGGTTTCTGACAGCCAGTGGGAGAAGGTGTGGGGGCATTGCAGCTGAAGGACGAGCATGTACAAAGGCTTGGCTGTGCGACTGGGTAGGGAGCACTTGGGAAACCTTGAGGGAAGCCGAGCATCCGTGCGGTGTCTGCATGGAATAGAGCCTGAGGGGCGGAAAGGCACCCGAACAGCTGGACCTTTCTTCCTAGGGCGCTACAAGCCATGGAGAGTTGTGAACACAACAGGGACACGATCTGCGTTAGGATTTTAAGTTTCCCCAAAGGTTGCTCAGGGGAGATTGGGGGTGGGGGGAGAGTGGCGATGAAGGTGGAGGCAGGGAGACCAATGAGGAGACTGCAGTAGTAGAGTCCAGGAGCGTCAGGATGGAGTCCAGACCAGTGATGGCAGTAGAGGAGGGCAAAGTACCCTGAGGAGAGATAGAGAGCTTAGGGATAGAGCCCACTTACTGCTGCATCAGAGGCTGTGAAGGAAAGTAGGGAGTGAAGGACCACCCCAAGTGTTTTTTTGTTGTTTCTTTTTTTTTTTTTTTTTCTGAACATCTGGGAGAATGGAGAGGAAGAAGTTGGGTGGAGGGAGCAGGTTGCAGAGGGGAAGACCAGAGGTTGCATTTTGGACTTGGTGATTCTGAGATGTTCCAGAAGAGTGGGGGGGGGGGGGCGGGGGGAGAAAGAAAGAGATGGACAGATGGACAAGCAAGTCTGAAGTTCCAGGAGGGGTCTACACTGGGGATGTCCAAGGGAGTTTTAGATCTGGACCAGGATATAGCTTGGGGAGTGGATTTAGGAGAGGGAACCTTAAGGTTGTTATTTGAAATGGGTCTGAAGTGAGAGATGGAAATGCTGGAGGGTAGGCACAAGGTTGGACATCCCTGAGGCTGCCTCCAGAGAGGAGGGGGCCTTCAGTCCCATCGGGTTCTGGCTGTTAATTGGGGGAGGGTAGGCCAGGGACAAGGAGTAGTGGGTGAAGAGCCAGGCAGGGGTAGAGACGGGGCTGTGGGTGGTGTATATTCACTGCCCTGTGGGCTTAGCAGGACCTTGTGTCTAATCCCTGTGAGCAAGGGAAGAGTTAGCTAGGTCAGTGGAACAGCCTAGGCCAGACCAGGGCAAGGGTGCATCAGCTTCTCCAGCTCTTCCAGCAGGAGGGTTGGTCCAGTATTCTAATGGACATTTATTTGAGCAGGTTCTCTTTCAGGGGACCATGGAGTACATACAGGCTGCATTGCTGAAAGAACCAGTATCTCACTGGCCTGCTTAGACCCCCTCCCACCCCACCCCCCGCCAAGAATTTATTTACTTATTTAGGAAATGATTGCTTCTTTAAACATTTCTCTAAATAGAAACACACAATAGAAATTTAAATTTACAGATTTAGCTAGTTAAATTCACACAAATTCTTACTAATTGTTTGAAAAGTTACCTCTAAACATTTGATTAAAATCAAGTATTTTTTTTTTTAAAGATTTTATTTATTTATCTGAGAGAGTGAGAGAGCGCAAGAGGGGGTAGGGTTAGAGGGAGAAGCAGACTCCCTGCCGAGCAGGGAGCCCGATGTGGGACTCGATCCCGGGACTCCGGGATCATGACCTGAGCCGAAGGCAGTCGCCCAACCAACTGAGCCACCCAGGTGCCCATGAAAATCAAGTATTAACGATCACATCCACTTAAATGCTTAAAAGCAGGAAAGCCACCCACATTTTCAAAGGCTCATCACCTCATTTCACCAAGGTGTTAATCCTGTAGACAGTAAAAGCTGATACTCCACACTTGACATGTACTAAAGTGTTTGATATCAACAATAGCCCTATGGGATGGGTACCATTGTGCCCATTTGACAGATCAGGACATTGAGGCACAGGGAGGTTGAGTCCTGTAAGTTTGTGCAGCTGGTATGAGGCAGTGCTATAGTTTGAACCCAGTTTCAGTTTATAGTTTGGATGTAAACATACACCAGGCCCATTCAGTTCTCTAGCAGCCATCCCGTTTACTCTCATCACAGCCCTGATGGCTGTCAGGTCTTGCCTTATTTTTATCTTTGCTGTCACATGGCTCAATCCAGTCCCTCACTTCATTGCAGGCTTGATCCAGTGTCCCCTCCTCTGAGATGCCTTTCTTGGTTGCCTCATGGAAAGTTGCCCCCAGTCTCTTGTTTCCTTACTCTTATTTTGTTGTCTTTAGGATTCTCCTGATCTTTTGTTTAGTTCCTTGTAGATGATCTGTCTCCAACCCTGGAATGTAAGCTTCTCTCTGTGCTCTATCACAGGCCTAGAGCAGTGCTGGTTTGTAACAGGTGCTCAGTTATTGAGTGCAAAGTGCTACCCTTCATGGACTCCCTACCATGCCTTGGAAAGTCCCATCCTTGGAGACCATCTCCGACCTTGTCCCCTTCTATTCTTCCCTTGCTCACTGCCATCCAGCCAGGCCAACCTGAATGTGTCAAACTCTTTCCCACTTCCTCCCAGCTTTGGCCTTTGGAGTTGCCTCTGATGGGGACACTGTTGCCAGATCTCTCCTTGGCTGCCCTTTCATATCCTTCCAGGCTCTGCTCAAATATCACCTCTTTGATGAGGCCTTTCCTGGCAGTTCTAGCTAAAATAGCCCCTGTCCCAGCCTGCTCTCATTTTGGCATTTTTGTGCAGGGAATTTGGCACAATTACAAAAGCAAAGATGCAGGCTAGATTGAGCTTTTCCAGGTTGTGCTGTTGGAGTAAATAGGAAAAATAGTAGTAACAAAACAACCATAAAGTATTGGCCTTCATCGTGAGCCCTTGATATGCACTGAGGGACAGTTATTCTGTACCACCACATTTAACTCTCACCTCCTTAAAATTTGATTCTGTTCTTATCCTTCACAGAAGAGAAACTTGAGGCTCAGAGAAGTCAAGTTACCAGCCCAAGGTCACACAGCTCTTAAATAGCTGAAACTCCAACTGAATATGCCAAACACCAGAGCCTCCACTCCTAACCATGATAGTACCCATAGTGGGCTGGGGAGGCCTGGGGATGGCACCTGATGTCAACTTTGCAGAATGGGTTTAGGCATCCTAATGAGGAAGGCATAGGGAGCATTTCAGGCAGAGGGAACCGCATGGGCAAAGGTAGGGACATAGGTTGTTCAAGGAGGCATGAGAGGGCTGGTGTGGTTGCTGAGGGCCCCTTCCAGCTGCTGAGACATGTCCCAGTGGGCAAGACTGTACTATTGTTATCGTTTGCTGCATGTTCATCTCACCCTTATTGTAGTGATGGAGGGGCATGGGGGTTATACACATAGACCCTGAGCCAGAGGGACCTAGGTTCAGATCTCCACTTATTAGATATGTGATTCTGCTTGACTTGCTAGATCTCCCTGAGCCTCGGAACACTGGCTGTGACATGGACATGATCATGGTGTTGACCTTGGCTGTGGGAAGATTAATACAAGTAGTAAAAACATAGTGAGCATAGACATGGGCCAGGCATTCCAGTGTCTGCCTTATGAACATTTTCTCTTGCATTCTGACAACAGCCTGCCGAAGTGCGAATGATTAGTATTATCGATACAGAATTCACTGCTCAGAGAAATGAAGTGACTTCCCCAAGGTCACACAGCAGGCAAGTGGGCACTCAGCACAGTCAGGTGCACAGCGAGGACCAATGAGCCTCAGCAGCAGCTGCTGTTACCATCATTGGTGTGATAATTACTGTTATTATTTCCTCCTTTGACGTCCTCGAGTGCATACTATCTGTGCCTCTCAGGACACTGAGGCGTGTTATCGTCTTTTGTCATTCTCCACTGGCTTCCCCCATAGCAGACTTTTTACTCTAACACAATTGCATTCTGTGCAAAGGCAGCATCCACCGCTCCCTTGAGCCCAGCACAGAGCAAGGCCCTCAGGAGGTGCACAGTGATTCGGACCTTGGGTACCCCTGGATCTTTTCCAGCAACGGAGTGACAGACTCTAATCCTTGCCTCTCTTTGACTTCCTAGGGATCAGCGACCATTGAGGATGTGGCCATGACCTTCCCTTGGAGGTCCTGGCCCAAAAGACTGAGCCCAAAGGTCCCTGTACCAGGAGGTGATGCTGCAGACCTAGATAACCTCTCACTGGGTAGGTTTTCACTTAAGGTGCCCCCTGGGGGGAGCCTGCAGTCTCTTTCTTTCTGCCCTCACACTTCAGGCCTGGCTAGGCCAGACAATATGAGAACCTTCCCTCTCTCCTTCCCACAGTTCCTGCCTTGTTTGCGTCTTATATCCTGCCTGGTCTCCCTGTGTGTCTAGCAAGGATAGGTGGGACCAGGATCACAGTCCCCTTCAAAATGGTTCAAAACAAAGGGAGAATTTATTGGAAGGGCATGGGGAGATACTGCAGAAGCCAAGAGCAGAATGTCCAGCTGGGCTCCGTGAGAGACTGAAATCAGGAACTGAAAGGAACCACGATACACCTTGGCCTCCGTGTCTCTTGTCATGGCTTCTGTGTGTCTTCTCTATGCAGCTGATTGGCTCTTTCTGCTGCAGATCACTCTCTGAGGCCCCCAGATTCCTTGCCTCTACTTTTCTCTGCGAGTTCTACATCCTTATTCTCGTCTCTCTCTGCAGTCCGGCTTTCCTGCATGGGCATCCTGGAGGCAGGAAAGGACCACCTGAGCCTCTCTTTCCCTCACCTTCTCACCCCAGTGCCCATCATAGGCTGGCCTCAATCTGAGATCCTTATCCCAGATTTCCACAAGAAGGAAGCTGGCTGGCCCAGGGGTCAGAGGGTCCTCAGAGCCCCCACAGCAGGGGCCCTTGGTGATGAACTATTTTCCAAGAAGAAAGGTGAGCCTGGCGTCCAGAAGGCATTTACCGTTACTGCCCCTTGGTATCCTTTAGCGGAAAACACAGTCTCAGTTAAAGGTTTAAAGCTCGGGGGCGCCTGGGTGGCTCAGTCATTAAGCGTCTGCCTTCGGCTCAGGTCGTGATCCCGGGGTCCTGGGATCGAGTCCCTCATCGGGCTCCCTGCTCCGTGGGAAGCCTGCTTCTCCCTCTCCCACTCCTCTTGCTTGTGTTCCCTCTCTTGCTGTGTCTCTCTCTGTCAAATAAATAAAATCTTAAAAAAAAAAAAAAAAAAAAGGTTTAAAGCTTGGTTGTTCCCAGAGGCCTACCTCCCAGGGCTGTTCTTCATTTCCTATGGTATGGACCAAGATCCTCCAGTTACACGAGATGACTGTAGAGGATGCACAGACCACTCATCAAATGGCACTGGCATCTGGAAAAAACTGTTCCTTTCTCCCCCTTTTCTTGTGGGTTCAGTGTCAAGAGAAGAAGCTACCATTCCGCGAGTGTAGCTCACGTGTCACACCTGCCCCACTCATTTCATTATCCCAGCCTCTCAGGGTTTGGTAAGGAAGGAAAAGTCGGCCAGTATAGTGAGTCTCAATTTAGAAGATGGCCCTTGACTTTGAAATGATATCCACTCATCCCCAATCTGCACTTCAAGGAGCAGTTTTCACTCTAGTCCCTCTGTCCCCTGCCTGAACCTATCTTCCTGAATTTCCCTTTAAAGATGTCAGAAATCCAAGGATCAGAAAAGAAAGAAATTGCAAACGGAGGCTTCAGAAATGTCAAAACACAGCAGGCACAGAGACACTATTTTCATCTTCATTTCCCCCTGAAGTGGTAATTTTGCTTCTTCTCTGTCTCCTAATAGCCACCTTTTATATACAAGATTCCCTTTAGGCAACCAAGCAAAACCTGACACCACAGAGCTGACCACTCAGGAGCCTTGCTCCAAGGACACCTGACTCCAGGAGCCTCAGGGGGTTCCAGAGTGGGATGAGCCAGAGATCAGCAAGGAAGGGCCTTCAGAAATGCAGGAAAGGTGCTTGAGAGCATGGCCAATCCTCCAGAAGACATTCCCTGGAATATGAGCCTCGAATGCCACAGTCTGGGGACAGATGATAGCATGCTCTCAAGGGTTTTATGACAGCAGTTCTCTCCAGGAGATTCTGCCTATGAACAGGGTTCATCCTGACCAAGTAAAGACCCCATGCTTCATCCAGGGAAGAATTCCTACCAATGCAAGGACTTCGGGGAAGGGGATAAGAGGTATTTCCTCCTTGTTCAACATCAGCAGACTGACTCTGGAAAGAAATCCTGTGAGCACCACAAGTGTCACAAAGAGTTTCTCGACAGAGCACACCTCATTTGACGCTCTCCATGCTGAGAAGCCCAATGAGGGGAGTGAATGTGGAGAGGCCTTCACATGCCACTCTGCTTTTGTCCAGCATAAAATAATGCACGCTAGAGAAAAACCCTTTGGGTACAGGGAATGCAGGAAAGCCTTTTGTGACAGCTCTTCCTTAGCTTATTACACAAGGAGGACACCAAGAAGCCCTCTGAGAGCATTGAGTGTGGCGCGGCCTCTATCCATGGGTCACATCTCATGTGATACCAGCACATTCACACTGGAGAAAAGCCCTATGGCTGCCAGGACAGATCCCCCATCCAACACGATACCGTCCACCCTGGGGAAAAGCCATATAGGTATCAGGTGTGAAAAGGCCTTCGAGGACAGATCACACCTCATGCAGCACCAGTGGATTGGGATAAACCTGCAGATAAACCCTGTGAGCACAAAGAATGTAGGGAGGCCTTCACCCACTGCTTCAATTTTCTCTTGCATACCAACTCATACTGGAGAAAAACCCTTTGAGGGCAGAGAAGGCAGGAGAGCCACAAGGAACCACACTGGCGAAGAGCCTGAGGAGCACATGGTATTGGAAAGCATTTGCCCTCAGCTCATTCCTCAGCACCGGAGCGTTTGCGCTAGGGAGGGTGAGGGGAAGAGATGTGGGAAGGCCTTGTGCTAGTGAGCCCTCCCCGCTTGACATTAGATAACTCACACTAGGGAAAGAATTTTGGCATGTAACTACCATGGAAAGTCTTTTGGCCTGAGGAATCCTCTTGCTTGACATCTGGAAATTCATGCTGAAGGGAAATCCCCTTAAAGTATCATTGTTGTGAGACAACTTCTTGTGACAGATCATTGCTTACTCTTAAAGAGTTTTATTAGAAAAGGACCCAGGGGCACCTGGGTGGCTCAGTCAGTTAAGCGGCTGCCTTCGGCTCAGGTCATGATCCCAGGGTCCTGGGATCGAGCCCCGCGTTGGACTCCTGGCTCAGCGGGGAGCCTGCTTCTCCCTCTCCCTCTGCCTCTCTCCCTGCTCATGCTCTCTGTATCTCTGTGTCTCAAATGAATAAATAAAATCTTAAAAAAAAAAAAAAAAAGAAAAAAAGAAAAGGACCCAGCCTAAAGCCTTTCTCTATACCTAAGAATTCATCCAGGAGAGAAACTTAGTGGTTATTGTGAACTTGGGAAAAACCTTCATAGTTTGATCTTTAGTTTGCCCTGGAAAGCTCTCTTTAGAATATTAAACAACAAAGGACGAAGAGAGATTGACAGTAAAGAAAAAGAAATGCATATATGACTTCTTCCTGTCATTGCTGCCATGCCTTTGATGATTTATCATTGGTTATTTTTTTGAGAGGGTGTGCTAGGCAAATAATGGCCACCCGATGTGTGTGTGTGTGTGTGTGTGTGTGTGTCTTAATCCCTGGAACCTGTGAATAGGTTCCCTTACATGGCAAAGGAGGATCAAGGTTGCTGATGGAATTACGGCTGACCATCAAATAGGGAAGTTGTCCCGGATAATGTAGGTAGGTCTGATATAATCACAAGGGACCTTAAAAATGGAGCCAGAAGAGCAAATGTCAGAGTGACGTCATGTGGGAAAGACTCAACAGGCTATTGCTGGCTCTGAATATGGAGGAAGGAGAATATGAGCCAAGGAATGCAGCTTCCAGAAGCCAGAAATGGCAAGAAAACAAGTTGTTCCTTACAGCCTTCAGAAAGGAACCTAGCCCTGCTGACAGCTTGGTTTCAACCCTGTGATACCCGTGTTGTACTTCTGACCCACAGAAGTATATGATAATAAATTTGTATTGTTTTAAGCCACTAAAGGTGTGATAATTCGTTAGAGCAGCAATAGGAAACAAATATTGAGGGTGGGGGTGGGGGTGGTTGGGAGGTGAAAAGGGCCTTTTTCCCTTTGTCTTTTATAAATGTTTACTGCCATCCAGTGTCAGGTGTGGTACTTGACGGCAGCTCTACAAACATTTATTGAAAGCCTTCTTTCTTCCAAAACATTGTCTCTACTCTTGAGGAGCATAACTCTTTGTAAGAAATATGAAGTACTGACTTTTGAAATATTTGAAACTTATAAGAAATCAGAATACTAAGTATAGTGTTTTATGAAGTTAAGTTATTGTAGTTATGGAGATAAGGATCCATATACAAATCAGCACTTTGTACTACACCACTGAAAGCGGTTGAGGACTTTCTTTTTTTTTTTTAAATTTTTAAAATTTTATTATGTTATGTTAGTCACCGTACATCATTAATTTTTGATGTGGTGATCCAAGATCCATTGTTTTCGTATAATACCCAGTGCTCCATGCAGTACGTTCATTAAAAAAAAATCAACAGTAACTTCATGTGGTTTGGAATGCCTGTCACTCACTTTCTTTTGCTCCTGGTCCACTTGCTTGATTATTCTTCATCTTCTGTGTGGAATGGGGATGATTGTGTCACTGTGTGGGCTTCCCTGTTGAGTCCTAATTCTTTCTGCTGACAGGTGTTGCTCAGCTTCTTTAATCCTCTGTAGAGGGGCTTCTCATGCCCAACTCAGCAGTTATTTAGGGGTGGAATTAGAACTAAAACAAAATACTACAATCAAGTTGAACTTATGATCAACTCAGAGAAAAAAACACAGAGAAGAAATCTAATTATTTGATCTGGTAAAGAACTGTGTCACTGTAAAGTGACTAGAATTTTTTTTTTATCATTTTTTGAAGTTTTTATTTTAATTCTAGTTAGGGAGCATACAGTATTGTATTAGTTTCAGGTGTACAATATAGAAATTCAATACTTCCATGCATCACCCAGTGCTCATCAGGACAAGTGCACTCCTTAATCCCCATCACCTCTTTCACCCATCCCACCACCCACCTCCCCTATGCTGACCATCAGTTTGTTCTCTATAGTTACATATCTGTTTCTTGGTTTGCCCCTCTTTCTCTTTTTCCTTTGCTCATTTTTTTTGTTTCTTTTTTTTTTTTAAGAGTTTATTTATTTATTTAATTGAAAGAGAGAGAGAGAGACAGCGTGAGGGGGAACACAAGTAGGGGGAGTGGGAGAGGGAGAAGCAGGCCTCCCGCTGAGCAGGAAGCCGGATGCGGGGCTCGATCCCGGGACCCCAGGATCATGACCTGAGCCGAAGGCAGTTGCTTAACCAACTGAGCCACCCAGGCGCCCCATTTTTTTTGTTTCTTAAAATCTACATATGAGTGAAGTCATATGGTATTTGTCTTTCTCTGACTGACTTATTTCGCTTAGCATTATACTCTCTAGGTCCATCCACGTTGTTGCAAATGGCAAGATTTCATTCTTTTTTGTGGCTGAATAATATTCCTTGTGTGTATTTGTGTGTGTGTGTATATATGTATCACATCTTCTTTATCCATTCATCAGTTGATGGGCATTTGAGCTGTTTCCATATCTTGGCTATTGTAAATAATGCTGCTGTAAACATCGGGGTGCATGTATCCCTTTGCAATAGTGTTTTTGTATTCTTTGGGTAAATACCTAGTAGTGCAATTACTGGATTGTAGGGCTAGTTCTTTTTTTTAACTTTTTGAGGAACCTCCATACTCTTTTCCACAGTAGCTGCACCAGTTTGCATTCCCACCAACAGTGCACTAATGTTCCTTTTTCTCCACATCCTTGCCAACACTTGTTTCTTTTGTTGTTGATTTTGGCCATTCTGACAGGTGTGAGGTGATATCTCATCGTAATTTTGATTTGCATTTCCCTGATGATGAGTGATGATGAGCATCTTTTCATGTGTCTGTTGGCTATCTGGCTGTCTTCTTTGGAGAAATGTCTGTTCATGTCTTCTGCCCATTTTTTAATTGGAGTATTTGTCTTTTGCATGTTGAGTTTTATGAGTTCTTTATGTATTTTGGATACTAACCCTTTATTGGATACGTATTTACAAATATCTTCTCCCATTCCATAGGTTGCCTTTTAGTTTTGTTGATTGTTTCCTTCACTGTGCAGAGCTTTTTATTTTGATGAAGTCCCAATAGTTTATTTTTGCTTGTTTCCCTTGCCTCTGGAAACATATCTAGAAAAAGGTTGTTAGAGCCAATGTCAGATAAGTTACTGCCTGTGTTCTCTAGGATTTTATGGTTTCAGGTCTCACATTTAGGTCTTTCATCCATTTTGAATTTATTTTAGTGTATGGTGTAAGAAAGTGGTCACGTTTCACTCTTTTGCATGTTGCTGTCCAGTTCCCAACACCGGTTTCTGAAGAGACTATCTTTTTCCCATTGCGTATT